ATCGCCACCAAGAAGGTGGCTGGCACACATCGCGTTGTGACACGGGCAGCCGTGACACACGGGAAAGTGGCACAGTTAGGAACGAGTGCATTCCACGTGCGCATGTGTGTGTGTCTGTGTGTGTGTCTTTATGTGTGTGTGTCTTTGTGTATGTGTGTGTCTTTGTATGTGTGTGTCTTTGTGTGTATGTATTTTTGTGCGTGTGTATCTTTGTGTGTGTGTCTTTGTGTGTGTGTGTGTGTCTTTGTGTGTGTGTGTCTTTGTGTGTGTGTGTCTTTGCATGTGTGTGTCTTTGTGTGTGTGTCTTTGTGTGTGTGTGTCTTTGCGTGTGTGTGTCTTTGTGTGTGTGTCTTTGTGTGTGTGTGTCTTTGTGTGTGTGTCTTTGCGTGTGTGTATGTATTTTGTGTGTGTCTTTGTGTGTGTGTGTGTCTTTGCGTGTGTATGTCTTTGTGTGGTGTACGGTGCTTTTTTTCTGGAAGACTTTGCAGTTTTTTCCTGGATGTTTCTGTTTGCACCCAGTCACATAGTCACTTTAAGATGTTTTCTTGTTCATGTTTTTGTTTTTTGTTTGTTGCGGTTGCACCCGATTCAAGAGCCGAATGGCTCACAGGGCTATACCTAATAAATGAAACTGAAAACTGAAACTGTGTGTCTTTGTGTGTGTCTTTGTGTGTGTGTGTCAACGAGCGGAGCGCCGGGTGGCTAAAACACAGCAAGTTGGCACAGTCGGGGGCACAGGTGGTGCATCAGCCAGTCATCTCAATCATCTCGGTCAGTCGACCTGTGGCACCTGGGTCTGCCCCGTGACCTCCTGCCAGCGGGCGTTCGACACTTCACGTGGCCTCAAGGTGCACATGGCCTGGCACAAGCGCCGTGGTGACGTCACCGCCACTTAGTGGCGAATGGCAGTTGTTGTTGTTGTTGTGTGTGTGTTGGGGAGCGGTGGCGTAGCGGTTAGCGCTACGCTGCGCTACGAACCCGGCCGCCCGAGTTCGATTCCCGCTCACGGCCAACACCAGTAACGATTTTCTGAACCGGTCCTGGGCCTCCCCTAGGTCGACTCAGCTTCAAATGAGTACCTCGTACGATGTGTCGTCAACTTCGACACTGGGGAGAAAAAGGCGGCCGGGCGTGGTGCTAGCCACCCACCCCCTCGTGTGCCGTTCCGGCCTTCATAGGTGCTCGCTAACAGCACTTGCCCCAACAGCCTGTTCAGGCTATACGGGGGATCTTTGTCTTTGCTTTGTTTATATATCGTGGGGAGAGGTAGTGTAGTGGTGAGCGCGCTGTACTACAAGCCCCTGCAAGCCCTACAAGCCCTGCTGCAACCCGAGTTTGATTCCCGCCCGCGACCAATATTCATTGGCGAAGATTTGAACCGGTCCTGGTCGTCCTCCAGGTCTACTCGGCCTCAAATGACTACCCGATGCGGTGTGTCGCGAACGTGAGCACCGCTGCCCACACCACCCCCTCGTGTGCCGCCTACAACGGGAGATCCTCGCCTTTGTTTCAGTTTCATTTATTAGGTATAGCCCTGTGAGCCATTCGGCTCTTGAATCGGGTGCAACCGCAACAAACAAAAAAAAACATGAACAAGAAAACATCTTAAAGTGACTATGCGCAAACAGAAAAATCCAGGAAAAAACTGCAAAGTCTTCCAGAAAAAAAGCACCGCACACAACGCTGTGCAAAAATCCCAGTGGGATGCAAGTCAAACAACAACAACAACCACAATACGTGTGTTGGCGCAGTGGGAAGCACGGGGAGGTGCATCTGCCTGTAATCTGAGTCAGCCAACCCTGAACACCTGTGCCTGCCCTCTGACCTCTTGCCAGCGGCCAGCCTTGCACACTTCACTCGGCGCCTCGAGGTGCCCCGAGCCTGGCACACGCGCTGTGGTCGCGGTGAATGCGCTGTTCGCTGCGCACTGAACTACGTACCCGGAGAACAGAGTTCGATTCCCGCTCTGAACCAGTCCTGGTCGTCCCCTAGGTCGACTCAGCCTCAAATGAGTACATACTCTTTGGTTCTTTCGGTAAAGTCACGTAGGTATAAAAATCAAACAAATATACCACGACGTTTCGATCGCAATACCAGCGGAAAAAATTATCCAGCAGTGGAACTGGTGAACCAGGAAGAAACAGATGAAATGAGTACCTCGTACGATGTGTAATAAAAATATCGCCACTGGGGAGACAAAGACGGCCGGGCGTGGCCTTCCCACCAATAGGTGCTTGCTCACAGCACTTGCCCCATAATACAGGGGGTTTTTTGGGGTGAGATCTTGTAAAAATAACACTGGTCAACAAAAAAATAACTTTTTTTCTGGCCTGGACTTTTGCAGCTGTTCTAGACTAATTTCAGGGTGCTGATTCCAAATCTGATCTCAGATTTGCTCTATCACATCTTATTTTTTATGCTATCGGCATACCCCATTTTCATTGATTTTACCCGAAATTAACTCTGTCACTTATGATTGCAAGTTGTTGCGAGTCAGTGACTGCTTTAGTGTTAAAATATGGTGCTGTGTTTTTAGGATAGTGTGTTTATAATATCATTTTATGTAGATATCCACATTTATTTAATATTTTTCTTCTGCAGTTTTTATTGAAAATGCAATATATGATATCTCAAAAACCTGATGTGATAGACAAAAACTGATGCCAGATTTGGAATCAGCACCCCAAAATTACCTTCAAACCCGTTGGAATACCTTATGCCAGAAAAAGTGTGTTGACCAGTGTAATAAATGTGTCGTTAACCCCGCCACCACCTGACACAGCCAATTAGTAAGTTTTGTCACGTGAACAGAACGTGGTCAATTCGTTACTAGTACATCACTAGCGTGTAGTGTAGTGTATAGTGTAGTGTATAGTGTAGTACACTAGTACAGCAACACCGGTTGTGTGTTGGAGAGCAAAGCCACAACATTTACAATCTGAGTACGAAGTTTCGCCAGTAATAACAACTCGCTTCATCAGCGTTGTAATCACTGGCGAAACGTCGTGCTCAGATTGTAAATGTTGTGGATTTGCTCTCCAACACACCGGTGCGCTGTCCTAGTGACGAATTGGCCACGTTCTGTTTACGTGACAACCCTTACTAGTTGTCTGTATCGGGTGGTGGCGGGTTTAACGACACATTTATATATTTACGAGATCTAACCCAAAAAAAAAACCTGTATTATCGATGATATTTGTTGCGAAAGCCTCTTTACCGCGTGTCATGCAGCACTTGCCCCAACAATCGGTTCAGGCTATACAGGTGATCTTTGTCTTTGTTACATATGATATGCAAAATATGAGTGTGTGAGTCGTCATAGTATGTGTCTTTTGTGTGTACTGCGTCTGGGTGTGTACGTGTACGCGTGCACATGACTGTGTGCACGTGTACGCGTGTGTCCACCTTCTTTGTTCATGCGTACAAGCATTCGTTGTGTATGTGTGTGTGCAATGTACAGCATCTGCGCGCATGTGTGTCAGTGTACGTGTGTGGGCGCATGTGTAGTCGTGTATGTTCATGAGTATACGTGGGTGCAATTGTGTACATGTGTGTATCTGCGTGCAACGTGTCTGCGCATGTGTGTGATCTCCGTGCGTGTCTGTTCATGCGAATGTCTGTACGTGACCAACACTGGACCCAACATCCGGTGCAGGCTATACGGGGCACCTTTATCTTTGTAAACGTGTGTCTTTGTATGTCTATGCGACTGTCTATATATGTACGTATCTTTAACGTTGTTCATGGATCCATTAAAAAATTTAGATACACATATCCGTGTATATGTGTGTGCATGAGTTGTGCACACTGCATCGCGTATAGCGATCGGTGGCGCAGTAGTAGCGTAATTGTCAGCTCGGAGGCATCCGACAATGGTTCAGGTGGGGTCCCGATGTTGGATTCGTCTCAAACGGTGGTTATCAAGGGAGGGGGGGGGGCAGGCACCCTGTGCCCCCCACATTCGTCACGCCGCTACGGACACGAATGCACGTGCGGCCGTGTGCGTGCGTGACGTGATCGCGTGTGACCGTGTCTGGGTGTGTGTTTCTTCGCACATGTGTGTGTGACTGTGTCTGGGGAGACAAAGGCGGCCGGGCGTGGTGCTGGCCACCCATCCCCTTCGTGTGCCGTGCTGGCATTCATAGGTGCTCGCTAACAGCACTTGCCACAACAGTCTGTTAAGGCTATACGGGGGATATTTGTCTTTATCTCTGTATGTGTGTCTATGACAATGTGTTTGTGGATATGTATATGTACATGTGTGTGTATGTCTCTGTACATGTGTGTATATGTCTGTGTACATGTGTGTGTATGTCTCTGTACATGTGTGTGTATGTCTCTGTACATGTGTTTGTCTGAGACCGAGTGTATTTGTGTGTGTCTATGGACATGTCTCTGTGTGTGTGAGACATATTGAGTGTGTGTGTGTGTATCTATGGACTGTCAAAATACTAACATGCGCGAAGCATACGCACTACACGTGTGTTTGTGTGTGCACGTGATTATATACTAACAGCACTTGCCCCAACATTATGTTGATGCTACATGGGGGGGGGGGCGGTTCTTTGTCTCTATTCGCGTGTGCAAACAGTGCAAAGATGAAGACCCCCCGTATAGCCTCGGCATACGTTTGGGGGCAAGTGCTGCGAGCCCAGGACTGAATCAGGTATTCGTCACCGGCGTTGTTGGCTGTGAGCGAGAATTGAACTCGGATCGCCGGGACATCGTAGCCCGACGTAGCGACCACTCCCCCACCAAACAGAGACAAAGATCCCCCGTATAGCCTCAACGGACTGTTAGGGCAAGGGCTGTTAGCGAGCACCTCTGCAGGCCCTCACGTCACACGAGACGGTGTCTGGCCAGGATCACGCCCGACCCCCTTTGTCTCCCTAGTGGCGATGTAATAATCGCACCTTGTAGGCAAACAGTACAACACGCACACACGCACGCACGCGTCAATGAAAAATCCCCAAGCATGATCGTGACATGTTCTCTCTCACCTTGTGGGTCTTGTCCAGCGCTTGTGAAATAAATAAAGAAAGCGAAATTCTATATATATGACGTCCGCCTCGGCTGGTCACCTACACGGATGTAATGATATTATAATTGAGTTGCAATTATAAATCGTTAGGCCGATACGCTAACCGCCTCTAACGCTGACTCGCTCACTCAGCTCCCTTAGCTGTGGAGTGGAGACTGTGTGTGTGGGTGAGTGGGTGTGTGTGGGTGTGTGTGTGTGGCCCTTTTGTCCTATAAGCGCCCGATCGACTCGCCACACATCGCTCGCCCCGTGATGTTCAATCCCAAACTGTCGTCTCCTCCTTTAGCTCATCTCGCTGTCGCTGCTGCTGCTGCCGCTGCTACTGCTGTTGGCTATGATGCCGCCGCCGCTGCTGCCGCTGCTGCTGCTGCGTCTTGCTGCTGTTCCACGTCGCATCATCGTCGCCGTCGCAGCAACGATTCCGACAAAGGCCGAGAGGAGAGACGAGGCAGGGTGACCGGCGTCCCCAACATCTAGGGGCTCGGTGACGATCGTCTGTTGGGGCTGTACCGCATTCGCCTACGCGCCAACACCCCCCAAACACCCCCCCTCCACCACACACCGCATTTGGAGTAGTGAGCGCGCGTATGTTCACCTATCCCTGTCCCTCCTACAACCCCACCCATCCACCACCAGCCTTGCCTGCTCAGCCACCCACACGCGCGCGTGCGCTCTTACCGTCAGCCGCAGCCTCTCCCGTGCTCCCCCCCTCCCCTTCACTCTCCCCACTCTCCCCACTCTCCTCCTCCCCTCTCTCCCCACTCTCTGCCTGCCCCCCCCCACCACCACCACCACCGCCAATCCGTCCGCGTTCACGGACTCATCGCACGCGCGTTGACGTCAGAAGGGGACCGACCACAGTGCCGAGGTAATCAGAGAGCGAGGCGAGAGCGGAATACTAAACGCGGCTTTCATTCACAAAATCCACGCGCGCGTGCCCGTGTCTCCGTGCGTGCGCGTGCGCGCGTGTACGTGCACGTGTGTGTGTGTGTGTGTCGCTGTGTGGGGGAGCGGTAGTGTAGTGGTGAGCGCGCTACGCCGCGCTACGAACCCGGCGGCCCGAGTTCGATTCCCGCTCACGGCCGACAGCGGTGACGATTTATCTGAACCGGTATTGGGTCCTCCCTCTAGGTCGACTCAGCCTCAAATGAGTACCTGGTGCGGTGCGTAAAGATCGCCACTGGGGAGACAAAGGCGGTCGGGCGTGGTGTTGGCCACCCAGCCCCTCGTGTGCCGAGCCGGCCTTCATAGGTGCTCGCTAACTGCACTTGCCCCAACAGCCCGTGTAGGCTACAACGGAAGATCTTTGTCTTTGTTTGCGCACGCACAAAAGATAAAGGTCCCCCGTATAGCCTTCAACAGACTGTCGGGGCAAAGTGCCGTTAGCGAGCGCCTATTAAAGCCGGCACCTACGCGCGAGGCGTGGGGTGACCAGAACCGCCCACGCCGCCCCCCTCCCGGCCGCCTTTGTCTCCCTCGTGTTGATGGACTGTTGTTTTTTTTACATCGAACGAGGTATTCATTTTAGGCTGAGTCGACGTAGAGGAGATGGTCGCTGTCAATGTTGTTGGGCGGTGAGCGGGAATCGATATCGGGTCGCCGGGTTCGTAGCGCAGTGCGCTAACCGCTGCGCCACCACTCCACACAGACACAAAGGCAAAGATCCCCCGTATAGCCTCAACAGAGTGTGGGGCCAAGTGCTGTTAGCGAGCACCTATGAAGGCCGGCACGGCACACGAGGGGGTGGGTGGCCAACACCACGCCCGGCCGCTTTTGTCTCCCCAGTAGCGATGTTTACACATCGCACCAGGTACTCATTTGAGGCTGAGTCGACCCAGGGGTGGTGTCCAGGACCGGTTCAGATAATCGTCACCGGTGTTGGCCGTGAGCGACAATCGAACTCGTGTCGCCGGGTTCGCAGCGCAACGCGCTAACCGCTGCGCCACCGCTCCCCACAGCATCACACAGACACGCGCGCACGCACTGTGGCGAATTCAGTAGCAGTGTGCATCCTTTGTTTAACCAAGATATTAAATATAGGCTAGCTGAGACACGAGATGCATTACCTCGTTTACAAAGGCGACCTGGACTCAAATATCAATAGCAATGCCCTGCAAGGAAATATATATATAATAGACGACGTTTCGGGCAAGGAGCCTTCATAGCACAACGATGGTCATGGCATCTCTGCTATGAAGATGGCTGTAATCGATGCTATGATAAACAAGGGTCATTGCCCGAAACGTCGCCTATTATATTCACTGTTGTTGTTTTTTCCCGTTTAGGGCAACTGTGTTGTTGTTGTTGTTGTTATTGTTGATGAATGTGCTCAGGTTTCTTTTGTTGCGAATGTTTGTGCACCACTGCCGATGCAGCAGCAGCAGCATTACAACAGAAGCCGGGGGTTAATAAGTGGCGCGTGTGTGTCGCGGTTGTGGGGAGCGGTGGTGTAGTGGTTAGCGCGCTGCGCTACGAACCTGGCGACCCGAGTTCGATTTCCGCTCACGGCCAACATCAGTGACGATTATCTGAACCGGTCCTGGGCCTCCCCTAGGTCGACTCAGCCTCAAATGAGTACCTGGTGCGGTGTGTAACAACATCGCCACTGGGGAGACAAAGGCGGCCGGGCGCGGTGCTGGGCCACCCACCCCTTCGTGTGCCGTTCCAGCACTTGCCCCAACAATCTGGTAAGGCTATACGGGGGATCTTTGTCTTTGTTGTTTCGAATGCCGCATCATCGTCGTCATCGTCGACATCTTCAATCGAATTGCAAGGAGTCTCAGAGTTGCAGGAGGAAGCGTTGCGCCTTCAAAGGATGGAACGGTGGCGCAGTGGTTAGGTCAGCGCACTGCGCTCCGCTTATGTAAGCCGGTGGCCGCAGAATTTTATAGTTCGATGCCCGGCAAGGGCTACCATCAGTACCGAGTGATACCTAAATCTGGACAGGTCATGGACCCCCCCCTCTCCCCAGCCCCCCCCCCCCCCCGTGCCCTCCCCCCACCCAGCCCCCCACCTCATGGACCTATCCCCCCTCCTTTTCCCAGCCCCCCACGTGCCCTCCCCCCACCCCCCTCATGGACCTACCCCCACCTCTCCCCAGCCCCTCCCCCCGTGCCCTCCCCCCCTCATAGACCTACCCTCTCCCTCCTCAGCCCCCCCACCCGTGCCCTCCCCCCACCCAGCCCCCCCCCCCCTCATGGACCTACCCCCCCCCTCTCCCCAGCCCCCCCCCCGTGCCCTCCCCCCCACCTCACTCCCCCACCGTTACCGATGATCACGTTGCTGATGAGTATCACTTAGAATCAATTTCCCCTTCGCTATAAAATATGGCCACATGAAAACAAAAGTATTCGCGAAGCACTAATTAGTCAATATACTGCTGGATGAAGATACCTCCACGCTCTAACTAAACTCTGCGACTATTTATTTATTTCACCAGGTAAGGCTCGCTGAGCTGTACAGCTCTTATTCAGAAGCGACCTGGCAATCACAAATGATAGCTTAGCAAAGTGGCTTATCATCACACACTCTAAAGGGCACGTCGTTGATTCTAAATGTGGAGGGGAAAACCCGGAGGACCCGAAGAAAATTCACACGACCACGGGGAGAGAGAGAGAGACGCGAACTCCAAATATACAGCAGCAGGCGTCAGGGTCGGGATCGAACCCAAGACCTCCTGTACACCAGGCGAGGTAGTTAACATCTCCTAGCCACCGTGATGATGATGATAAGAGAGAAAGAGACACGCAAACTCCAAATATACAGCAGGCGTCAAGGTCGGGATAGAACCCACGACCTCCTGTATACCAGGCGAGGTAGTTAACATCTCATAGCAACCGTGATTATGATGATGAGAGAGACGCAAACTCCAAATATACAGCAGGCGTCAGTGTCGCGATCGAACCCACGACCTCCTGTATACCAGGCGAGGTAGTTAACATATCATAGCCACCGTGATGATGATAAGAGAGAGACACGCAAACTCCAAATATACAGCAGGCGTCAGTGTCGGGATCGAACCCACGACCTCCTGTATACCTCGCGAGGTAGTTAACATATCATAGCCACCATGATTATGATGATGAGAGAGACGCGAACTCCAAATATACAGCAGGCGTCAGTGTCGGGATCGAGCCCACGACCTCCTCTATACCAGGTGAGGTAGTCAACATATCATAGCCACCGTGATTATGATGATGAGAGAGACGCAAACTCCAAATATACAGCAGCAGGCGTCAGGGTCGGGATCGAACCCACGACCTCCTGTATACCAGGCGAGGTAGTTAACATCTCCTAGCCATCGTGGTGATGATGATGATAAGAGAGAGAGAGACACGCAAACTCCAAATATACAGCAGGTGTCAGGGTCGGGATCGAACCGACCACCTCCTGTATAACAGGCGAGGTAGTTAACATCTCCTAGCAACCGTGATGATGATGATAAGAGAGGGAGAGAGAGAGAGACGCAAACTCCAAATATACAGCAGGTGTCAGGGTCGGAATCGAACCCACGAACTCCTGCACGCCAGGCGAGGTAGTTAACATCTCATAGCCACCACATAGCCGTGGTCGGAGCTTGTTTTGGCCGCTACCACACTTCACCACACTGGTCACTGCCGAATGGTGAGCCGGGAGGGAGCCTTAGATGCGGGACACGTGTCACTCGCCGCCACTGACGATCCAACAGCAACCGGGCTTGGTGCATCTGCTGCACTGGCAGTGGTGCAAGAGGCAGAGCCAACAGCAGAACCCAAGAACACCGCCTCGCTCTACCACTGTGGCCTCTCTGTGTGCTCTGCATGAGGACTGCTGCCAGAAACGTCGCCTATTATATCCTCTGTTTAAGGCCACACAGTGTTATTAAACAAATGTGTTGAGTCGTGACTCAAAGCTTTCGTGACTGCAGAAAACATATTCTATGGGTCTGTCGGTAAAGCCACGGAGATAGAAAAATAATAAAATTACTGTATCACGACGTTTCGATCGCAACTCAAGCAATCGTCTTCAGGTGGTTTTACCGAAAGACCCATGGAAAAATGTGTTGAGGTTAAAACTAGATATATGAGCATTTTAAATCCTTTATATTAAGGTCACTTGCTTGCTTGCTTGCGCGCTTACGACCGTGCAAATCTTTCGGTCGTTTTTTAACCCACTTCCCGTGACCCAATCGAGCTGACATTTTGCACACAGACTCGTTGTGCGTGACAATTAATTTTCGTGAAAAAATTCCATAACTTTACACTGTTTAGGAATTTTTTTTTATATTTAATTACCAATTGCTTAATGGTGGCAGGCAATCATCTATCCCTTAGGTGGCAGCCATCTCATGCCAGAGGATGAGAGGACTCTAGCCGCCACGCATATAAAGGATTTATAGTGAAAAACTTTGTTTTTACGGGTTAATTTTTTATTTTTTATTTTTACCAGGTGTCGCCCACTGAACTACAAAGCTGGGTTTTTTCTTCAGAAGCGACCTGGCCGCAAATGATAGCTCAACGAAATGGCTTCTCATCATGTGGAAAT